TTAATGAGACCCCTGTGAGTGACCCCCAGGGGACCCCCCCATAATGAGACCCCCATAATGAGACCCCCAGGGTGAGACCCCCAGGGTGGGACCCCCATAATGGGACCCCCCCTGAGTGACCCCAGGGTGGGACCCCCAGGGTGGGACCCCCATCATGATCTGGGGGGGGGACTCTGTGGTTGTTTTGGGGGTCTCTGTTGCTGTTTTTGGGGTCTCTGGGGGTGTTTTTGGGGTGCCCTGACCCCCCCCATTTCCCCCCCCAGGACCCCCCAGGTTTGATGTCCCATGTCTGGGGGGGATTTGGGGGGGTCTCTGGGGGTCCCTGTGGCTCTCTGGGTGTATTTGGGGTCTGGGGGTGTATTTGGGGTGTATTTAGGGTGTATTTAAGGTGTATTTGGGTGTATTTAGGGTGTATTTGGGGTATATTTAGGGTATATTTAGGGTGTTTTTTCCCCCCAGGACCCCCACGTTCGGTGTCCCATGTCTGGGTGTATTTAGGGTGTATTTAAGGTGTATTTGGGGTATATTTAGGGTGTATTTCCCCCCCCCCAGGACCCCCACGTTTGGTGTCCCATGTCTGGGGGATTTGGGGGTCTCTGTGGGTGTATTTGGGGGTCTCTCTGGGTGTATTTGGGGTGTATTTAGGGTGTATTTTCCCCCCAGGACCCCCACGTTCGGTGCCCCATGTCTGGGGGATTTGGGGATGGTTTGGGGTGTATTTGGGATGTTTTTTGGGTGTATTTGGGGTATATTTGGGGTGTTTTTTCCCCCCAGGACCCCCACGTTCGCTGTCCCATGTCTGGGGGATTTGGGGGTTGTTTGGGGATGATTTGGGGTTTATTTAAGGTGTATTTAAGGTGTATTTAGGGTGTTTTTCTCCCCCAGGACCCCCACGTTCGCTGTCCCATGTCTGGGGGATTGGGGGATGGTTTGGGGTGTATTTGGGGTGTATTTGGGGTCTCTGTGGGTGTATTTAGGATGTTTTTTCCCCCCAGGACCCCCACGTTCACTGTCCCATGTCTGGGGGGATTTGGGGGTCTTTGGGGTATATTTGGGGTATATTTGGGGTGTTTTTCCCCCCAGGACCCCCACATTCGGTGCCCCATGTCTGGGGGATTTGGGGTGTATTTGGGGTGTATTTAGGGTATATTTGGGGTGTTTTTCCCAGGACCCCACATTCAGTGCCCCATGTCTGGGGATTTAGGTGTATTTGGGGTGTATTTAGGTATATTTGGGTGTTTTCCCAGGACCCCCACGTTCGGTGCCCCATGTCTGGGGGATTTGGGGGTGATTTGGGGTGTATTTAGGGTATATTTGGGGTGTTTTTCCCCCCAGGACCCCCACGTTCGGTGCCCCATGTCTGGGGGATTTGGGGTATTTGGGTGTATTTGGGGTGTATTTGGGGTGTATTTAGGATGTATTTTCCCCCCAGGACCCCCACGTTCGCTGTCCCATGTCTGGGGGATTTGGGGATGGTTTGGGGTGTATTTGGGATGTATTTAGGGTGTATTTAGGGTGTTTTTTCCCCCAGGACCCCCACGTTGGGTGTCCCATGTCTGGGGGATTTGGGGTGTATTTGGGATGTATTTGGGGTGTATTTAGGGTGTTTTTTCCCCCCAGGACCCCCACGTTCGGTGTCCCATGTCTGGGGGATTTGGGGGTCTCTCTGGGTGTATTTGGGGTATATTTGGGGTGTATTTACCCCCTGTTTCCCCAGGACCCCCACGTTCGCTGTCCCATGTCTGGGGGATTTGGGGATGGTTTGGGGTGTATTTGGGATGTATTTAGGGTATATTTGGGGTATCTTTCCCCCAGGACCCCCACGTTCGGTGCCCCATGTCTGGGGGATTTGGGGATGGTTTGGGGTGTATTTGGGGTGTATTTGGGGTATATTTGGGGTGTTTTTCCCCCCAGGACCCCCACGTTCGCTGTCCCATGTCTGGGGGATTTGGGGATGGTTTGGGGGTCTCTCTGGGTGTATTTGGGATGTATTTAGGGTGTTTTTTCCCCCCAGGACCCCCACGTTCGCTGTCCCATGTCTGGGTGTATTTGGGATGTTTTTTGGGTGTATTTAGGGTATATTTAGGGTGTATTTCTCCCCCAGGACCCCCACGTTCGGTGCCTCATGTCTGGGGGATTTGGGGATGGTTTGGGGTGTATTTAAGGTGTATTTGGGATGTATTTAGGGTATATTTGGGGTGTATTTAAGGTGTATTTAGGGTGTATTTTCCCCCCAGGACCCCCACGTTCGCTGTCCCATGTCTGGGGGATTTGGGGATGGTTTGGGGTGTATTTGGGATGTTTTTTGGGTGTATTTAAGGTGTATTTAGGGTGTATTTTCCCCCCAGGACCCCCACGTTCGGTGTCCCATGTCTGGGGGATTTGGGGATGGTTTGGGGTTAGTGTATTTGGGATGTATTTAGGGTATATTTGGGGTGTATTTAAGGTGTATTTAGGATGTTTTTTCCCCCCAGGACCCCCACGTTCGCTGTCCCATGTCTGGGGGATTTGGGGGTGATTTGGGGTGTATTTGGGGTATATTTAGGGTATATTTGGGGTGTATTTAGGATGTTTTTTCCCCCCAGGACCCCCACGTTCGCTGTCCCATGTCTGGGGGGATTTGGGGGTCTCTCTGGGTGTATTTGGGGTATATTTGGGGTATATTTAGGGTGTTTTTCCCCCCAGGACCCCCACGTTCGCTGTCCCATGTCTGGGGGATTTGGGGTGTATTTGGGTGTATTTAGGGTGTATTTTCCCCCCAGGACCCCCACGTGAGGTGCCCCATGTCTGGGGGGATTGGGGGATGGTTTGGGGTGTATTTGGGGTTTATTTAGGATATATTTGGGGTGTTTTTCCCCAGGACCCCCACGTTCGGTGCCCCATGTCTGGGGGATTTGGGGATGGTTTGGGGTGTTTTTTGGGTGTATTTGGGGTGTATTTAGGGTGTATTTCCCCCCAGGACCCCCACGTTCGCTGCCCCATGTCGGGCCGGCGGCTCCGGCTGGCCCAGCTGGTCGGGGTTCGTTTCTGCCCGGCCGAGCCGGGGCTGAGCCCGGGGCAGCTCCTGGCGCGGGACCCCGGGGAGCGCTACGTGTGTGCCGTGACCAGGGACCCCCTGGGCAACCACACCCCCTGTGCTGTGCTCAGACCCTCGTGAGTCACCCCTGAGACCCCAAAACCACCCCAAAATCACCCCTGAAACACCTACCCCATAACTGACCCCATAACTGACCCCATAACGTGTGTGCCGTGACCAGGGACCCCCTGGGCAACCACACCCCCTGTGCCGTGCTCAGACCCTCGTGAGTCACCCCTGAGACCCCCAAAATCACCCCTGAAACCCCCAACCCAACCGTGATACCCTGACCCCAGAACTGACCCCATAACTGACCCCATAACTGACCCCATAACCCACCCCATAACGTGTGTGCAGTCACCAGGGACCCCCTGGGCAACCACACCCCCTGTGCTGTGCTCAGACCCTCGTGAGTCACCCCAAAAACACCCCTGAGACCCCCAAAATCACCCCTGAAACACCGACCCCATAACTGATCCTATAACCCCAGAACTGACCCCATAACTGACCCCATAACTGACCCCAGAACTGACCCCATAACTGACCCCATAACTGACCCCAGAACTGACCCCATAACTGACCCCATAACGTGTGTGCAGTGACCAGGGACCCCCTGGGCAACCACACCCCCTGTGCTGTGCTCAGACCCTCGTGAGTCACCCCAAAATCACCCCAAAACCACCCCAAAATCACCCCTGAAACACCGACCCCATAACTGATCCTATAACCCCATAACCCACCCCATAACTGACCCCATAACTGACCCCATAACTGACCCCATAACGTGTGTGCCGTCACCAGGGACCCCCTGGGCAACCACACCCCCTGTGCTGTGCTCAGACCCTCGTGAGTCACCCCAAAATCACCCCTGAGACCCCAAAAACAGCCCTGAAACCCCCAACCCAACCGTGATACCCTGACCCCATAACTGACCCCATAACTGACCCCATAACTGACCCCATACCTACCCCATAACGTGTGTGCCGTGACCTAGGACTCCCTGGGCAACCACACCCTGTAGCTGTGCTCAGACCCTCGTGAGTCACCCCAAAACACCCCCTGACGACCCCAAAATCCTGCCCGAAACACCTGAAGCCCCATAACTGATCCTATAACCCCATAACTGACCCCATAACCTGACCCCATGACCTGACCCAGAACGACCCCATAGCACCCCATAACTGACCCCAGAACTGACCCCATAACTGACCCTAGAACTGGCTGCAGTCACTCAGGACCCTGGAGCACACCAGCGACCTCAGTGCTGTGCCCCAGACCTCGTGAGTCACCCCAAAAACTGACCCCAGAACTGACCCCAGAACTGACCCCAGAACCCGACCCCAGAACTGACCCATGACCCCAGAACTGACCCCATAACTGACCCCATAACTGACCCCATAACTGACCCCATAACGGTGGCCGCCAACCAGTGGACCCCATGGGCAGACCCACACCCCAGTGCCGCCTCAGACCCTCGGAGTCACCCCAGAACTGACCCCAAACACAGCCCTAGAACACCCCAGACCCGACCCCAGACTGATACCACTGGACCCCATAACTGACCCCATAACTGACCCCAGAACTGACCCCATAACTGACCCCAGAACTGACCCCATAACTGATCCTATAACTGACCCCAGAACTGACCCCAGAACTGACCCCAGAACTGATCCCATAACCTAGCCCATAACTGACCCCATAACCCTCAGAACTGACCCCAGAACTGACCCCAGAACCGATCCTATAACTGATCCCATAACCTAGCCCAGAACTGATCCTATAACTGACCCCAGAACTGACCCTACACCTGACCCCAGAACTGATCCCAGAACTGACCCCATAAGTGACCCCATAACTGCCCCTATAACCCCATACCTGACCCCACAGGGGCTCGGTGGTGACCCTGGAGTGCATCGAGCGCCTCATCCACACCCCAGACCTGACCCCCTGACCCCAGAACTGACCCCATAACCCCATAACTGACCCCAGACCTGACCCCATAACCCCAGAACTGACCCCATACCCGACCCCATAACCCTATAACTGACCCTATAACCCCATAAGTGACCCCATAAGTGACCCCATAACCCCATAAGTGACCCCATAACATTTTTAGGGGCTCAGTTGTGACCCTGGAGTGCGTCGAGCGCCTCATCCACACCCCAGACCTGACCCCCCTGACCCCATAACCCCAGAACTGACCCCATAACCCCATAACTGACCCCAGAACTGACCCCAGACCTGACCCCAGAACTGATCCTATAACCCTATAAGTGACCCCATAACCCCATAACTGACCCCATAACTGACCCCATAAGTGACCCCATAACCCGTTTTAGGGTCTCAGTTGTGACCCTGGAGTGCATCGAGCGCCTCATCCTCACCCCAGACCTGCCCCACCTGACCCTATAACTGACCCCAGAACTGATCCTATAACTGACCCCACAACTGACCCCATAACCCATCCCATAACTGACCCCATACCTGACCCCATAAGTGACCCCATAACCCCATAAGTGACCCCATAATCCGTTTTAGGGGCTCAGTTGTGACCCTGGAGTGCGTCGAGCGCCTCATCCACACCCCAGACCTGCCCCACCTGACCCCAGAACTGACCCCAGAACTGACCCCATAACCCCATACCTGATCCTATAACTGACCCCAGAACTGACCCCATAACCCCAGAACTGACCCCAGAACTGATCCCATAACCTAGCCCAGAACTGACCCCAGAACTGACCCCATAAGTGACCCCATACCATTTTTAGGGGCTCAGTGGTGACCCTGGAGTGCGTCGAGTGCCTCATCCACACCCCAGACCTGACCCCCCTGACCCCAGAACTGACCCTATAACTGACCCCAGAACTGACCCCAGAACTGACCCCATAACCCCAGACCTGCCCCACCTGACCCTATAACTGACCCCAGAACTGACCCCATAACCCCAGAACTGACCCCAGAACTGACCCCAGAACTGACCCCAGAAGTGACCCCATAACCCCATAAGTGACCCCCTAACCCATTTTAGGGGCTCAGTGGTGACCCTGGAGTGCGTCGAGCGCCTGATCCGCAAGGACATGAAGGACCCCCTGAGCGGGGACCCCCTGAGCGAGGATGACATCATCGTCCTGCAGAGGGTGGGGGCACGGGGGGCTTTGGGAGGTTTGGGGGTCCTGGGGAGGTTTGGGGGATTCTGAGGGGTTTGGGGAGAAATTTGAGGATTCCTGTGAAGGTTTGGGGGATTTTGGGGGTTTAAGGGGATTTTGGGGGTCCTGGGAGGTTTGGGGGCCAGGTGGGGTTGGGGGATTTTGGGGGTCGGGGGGTTTTGGGGGATTTTGGAGTGTCCTGGGGAGGTTTGGGGGATTTGGGGGGTTTGGGGAGTCCTGGGGATGTTTGGGTGGGGTTGGGGAGTTTGGGGGATTTTGAGGGGGGTTGGGGGCTGGGAGGGTTGGGGGAATTGGGGGTCCTGGGGGATTTTGGGGGTCCTGGGTTGGTTTAGGGGGCTGGGAGGGGTTGAGGGGGTTGGGGGTATAGAGGGAAATTGGGGGTCCTGGGGGTTGGGAGGGGTTTGGGGAGTCCTGGGGGATTTTGGGGCGTTTGAGGGGATCCTGGGGAGGTTTGGGAAGGATTTGGGGGGGTTGGGGGCTGGGGGGGTTTGGGGAGGTTTGGGGGTCCTGGAGTGGTTTGGGGGATTTTTGGGAGTTCTGGGAGGGGTTTTGGGGGATTTTGGGGGTTTTGAGGGGTCCTGGGGAAGTTTTTTGGGGCATTTTGGGGGTCCTGGGAAGGTTTGGGGTGTCTGGGAGAGATTTGAGGTGGATTTTGGGGGTCCTGGGGAGATTTGGGGGGATTTGGGGGAGGGTTTGGGGAGTCCTGGGAGGGGTTTGGGGGTTTGGTGGGATTGGGGTGGATTTTTGGGGGTTGGGGGTCCTGGGGAGGTTGGGGAGGTCTGGGGGTCTGGGGTGGTTTGGGGGTTTTGGGTGGGGTTGGGGGATTTTGGGGCTCCTGAGGAGGTTTGGGGGATTTTGGGGGTTTGGGGGATTTGGGGGGGTTTGGGGGTCCTGGGGAGGTTTAGGGGGGCTGGGAGGGGCTGGGGGGTCCTGGGGGTTTTGGGGGATTTTGGGGGTCCTGGGGGTTGGGAGGGATTGGGGGATTCTGGGGATTTGGGGGTCCTGGGGGTTTAAGGGGATTTGGGGGCCCGGGGGATTTTGGGGGTCTGGGGAGTCCTTGGGAGGTTTGGGGGTCCTGGGGAGGTTTGGGGGTCTTTGGGGGATTTGGGGAGGGTTTGGGGGCCTGGGAGGGATTGGGGGAGTGGGGCTCCGGGGGAGATTTTGGGGGGTCTGGGAGTCCTTGGGAGGTTTGGGGGCTGGGAGTGATTGGGGGG